AGAATTATTCCTAAGAGCTATACTTTTTAGATTCTAATTCTCAACCAGTCTTTTTGATCTGTGTAATTTCAGGCAAATTGCTTAACTGCTCTGTACTTTTGTCTTTTTATATGTGAGATGAGCATAATAATAATACTTAACTGGTAAGAGTTGTGATGAATATTATATGTGCTAATGTACGTAAGAGCTTAGAATGATGCGATGTAAATTTTAGCCATCATTATGTTTTCAAAGTGTTGCTAATACACAAATGCAATGTTGTTTCTTGACTTCATATTCAGCAACTTTGATTAAAACTCTTCTTTCTCTAAATATTCTAATTTTTTTCTCTTTAGTAAGATGCATTGAACTTCTAAAACTTACATACAAATGGAAAAGTAGCTAGAATAGTGAAGTAAATGCAAGACTTAACATAAAGTGCAGTAATCAAACCACTGTGACAGTGTTGAAAAGATTGATATATAAACCAGTAGAGAAGCATATAGAGTCTAATATTGACCCACATGTATAGGATGAGTTGATTTCGAGCAAAATTGCTAGTGTAAAAATTCAATAAAGGAAAATCTTCCAACAAGTAGTTTTTGGACAGGTGTGTATCCATGTTGGAAAAAATAAATTTTGATTAGTATCTCACACCATACTGACAGATTGACTTGAAATGGATCTTAGACCTGTCTGTAAAACTTAAACCTAAAAAACTCCTAGAATAAAACCTAGGAAGGGGGACTTTCCAGGCGGTCTAGCAGCTAAAACTCAGTGTGCTTCCACTGCAGGGGGCACAAGTTTAATCCCTGGTCAGGGAATTGGAATCCCACGTGCTATGCAGTGTGACATGGCCAAAACAAAACCAATAAATAAATAAATAAATCTTATATTAAAAAACACTAGAAGAAAATCTTTGCAACCTTGGGATGTGCAAACGTTTCTTAGATAAACCACAAAAAGCACAAACCATAAAAGGAAATAATTTATGTATTGTATATACATCAACATTTTAAAAGTTTTCAGTGGCTTGAAAGATACCATCAAGAAAACCAAAAGGCAAGCTTACAGACTTGAAGAAAACAAATTAGTTGTATCAAGGTATACAAGGAATTCACAGCTCAATAATAAGAAAACAAATCATTAAAAATGGGCAAAAGATTTGAAAAAATATTTTACAAAAGATGGTATATAAGTGGCAATAAGCACATGAAAAGATGCTCAGCATCCCTAGTCATCAGCAAAATGGAAATTAAAATTACTATAATATATTATTACATACCCTTCAGAAGCATCTTGATTTGGTGGATTGTTGTCTTTTACTGGTCCTAGAAATGATCTTTTCACATATGCCATCTTCACACTTTTTCTTTTCTTAGTTTCTGGAATTTTGACTAGACCTGTTAAATTCTCTTTTTCTGTTCTTGAGTATCTCAAACTTTCTGTCCTGTTTTTTCCTTTATCTCTCTGAGCTGCATCCTGAATAATTCCTTAGGGCCTTTCCATTTTATTAATGGTCTCTTCACCTTTGTCTAATCTGTTGTTAAACTTGTCTGATAACTTTAAATTTCAGTAATTGTGCTTTTTATTTCTAGAAATTTTATTCTTTTTTTTTTCAGTATCATCTGCCTTATAGATACTTTTTAGCATAGCGTTTATTTTTCCAAACATACTATCTAAAATCCTCATCTGATAATTCCAATGTCTGAAGTCTTTGCAGTTATTTTTCTGCGATTAGACATTTCTTTTTCTACTTTCTTCTTTTTGAGTTATTCACTTACTTGGGAAATAACTTGGGACTTCTTTGAGGCTTAGCCTCAAGATGGTATGTTCCTCCAGAAAGAATTTACTTGTTTGCAACATCAAAGGATTTGTGTCTAGGACCATTTCAATCTAAATCCATAATTTTGTTAATTTTCCCTTGAATTCCAAAGAAATGTGAACTTAGGCTGCAAATTCGCATGAGAACTTACTTTTGGTTAGACCTTTTCAGGAACTGTTTTGTCTCCTCTCTGTTAGACACAAAGTCAGCTTCCCTTGTAGTCTTCTGAAGGTAGGAGAAGTAGGTAATGGGATGGGTTACTTTAGGTTTATACTATTGGATTAATGTCATGGAGGTCTCCTGTTGACTTCCTTCCTCTTGGACTAACCTTGGGATTTGCATCTTGTCCATTACGCATGAGGATGATAAAACCAAAGCTGTTTGATAGAGTGAGATTTTCAGCCAGGTTACTCGTAATCATCTTGTTAGCTGTTAGGTTTTTTCTTTAAAAAAGATCTTTTTACTGTTCATTGGACATATCTGCCACAAGGTTGGTCTTTGTTATTTAGTCTGCTACTATATCCACATTTTTAAAAAATAACAATTGTGCCTTTTTTCCATAATATATATTGTTTGTAATGTTTCAAATGGCTCTGTATTTTGTCTAGTGACCCATAATTTATATAATAATTCTCCAATTTAGACATTAAACTTGTTTCTTTAGGGTTTGCTATTATAAACAATAGCACTGAGAAACACTGAAACACTGATAAACTGATTTCATAGATAAAAATGTTATCTATTTGTATTACCTTAATTGCTATTGGTAATACATTTTCCAAATGTAAAATACCTGTGATATAGCTATTCAAATCTTAAACCTTTTCCTGTAAAGTTTGTGTAAACCAATGTCTAACAGGTTAATTTGCTAAAATGTTTCTGCTCCTGCTTACTTGAGGAATGTAGATTTATGGAAACTTAACAAATGTTTCTTTTGTCAAATATTAATAGGTGTTCTTGTACTTGGAAACAATTATTTAAAATTTGGCCCTGGAACATTTTGCCTGTTCTTCCATTTATTGCTATTTAATGGTCAGTGAGAGTTAATATCAAAAATTTTCCTCATTTCTCTCAGTCCTGCTGCATATCTTCTGCCTCATGCCGCTCCCCCGCCATAACCACTTGTCTTAGACTTCTTGCTTTGTTTTTAAAAGTACCTCCCTCGCCTTTCTGACAAATCTCAGTGATTTACAGTAATTAACGATTATTCCTCTCACATAACTGAAACCTAAACAACTGTGAATCAACTTTTGCATACTTCCCTCACATGTCTTTTTGATCGAGGGTCCAGGCTGTAGGTGTCATTCCATTTGAGACGTGGCATTCTTGTGGCAGAAGGTGAAAGAAATCAGAGAGCTGGTGTAAACCCATAATGCTTCCTAAGGCTTGCAGTCTATGTCATGACTATCTTGTGTTCCTATCATGTGATTGAATGCAGTGGCGTTGCATACAAATGTATGTTCTGCAGGAGACACTGCAAGTCACATAACTAGCCAGAGTTAGATGGAAGGGTCAAGTGAATACTTGGCAACCATATTTCTTCTTTTGTTTAACTTCCCAGTGTAAATTTTCATAATAACTCATATCCATATTGAAGTGTCTTGGGTAAGTCTTCCTCTATACCTTAAAATAGTTGTTATGAAAATGAATCATGTTACCTATGATCTTCAGCCTACTTGAATGTAAGTTTAGCAAGGGCAGAGATGCTTGTATGTGTTATTCAGTGCTTCCTTAGCACCAGAGGGATGCTTGTCTCCTCCTGTGCTTTCAGTGATATTTCTCTTATTTCATCAGTTACTCTATTTCTCATTTTTGTGTCTTCATTTATTGTCAGTTCTCACTGCTCGCTCTGTCCCTGAAGTCTCTTTGTGACTATATTTTCTTGAATTACTTTAATAAATCATAGCACATATTTAACAAATTCTGTTAAATAATTCTCTTTAATGAAGAGAATAAACTTACGTGATCTTTTAACTCCTCTGGAAAACACAGCCTACATACTTCCTATAAATATGCATATCACTGTTTCATTTTTTAAAAAAGCAGAAACCAAATCCCTCCCTTTGACTTACAGTCTAGCTTCTCACTATCGCTCTAGAACTCTTGCCTCCCGTTTTTGTTTCTCACTCTCCTGACTTGTATTGACCCCTCTTCCTGAAATTCCGTCTCTTGATCACGAGGGACTGTAATTCATTGCTTTCTTTTCTGAGGCTGTTCTCTCTTTTTCTTGGAAATTTCCTCTTCCACTTAAGTGTACTAATACTCCCAGGTTCTCTTTTTAGCTTTCTTCATTTCTTGTCTTGTGCCCTTTTTAGTGGAGTTTTTCTTCATATGGCTTTTACATTTATTTCTGTATAGATGATTTACAAATCTGTATCTTGTAGTAGTTAGAAATTCTGAGTTTACCCCCTCATTTCCACTGTGGCATTGCCATTTGAATGTCTTACTATCACCTTGACCTTAATTTGTCCTCAAACTGTTTTCCTACTAGTAATGATTCCACCATTTAGAGCTGACTCCTGTATTTGTTGATGGTGCACAGTCACCAGGCTTCTAAACGGAGAAGGAATATCAGCCTTTGTTTGGCATCTGGTACTCACTAAGCACTGCTTTTCACTTAATGTCCAGCTCAAGTGTTACCTCCTGAGAAGCCTTCAAACAGTCCCAGAGATCCTTTGCAATCCCTTCTTCTTAGACCACTTGCAGTACATTTGTATTTAAACCTCTAGATCCTCAGCATGTGAATCTTATATAATTAATAATTTTACTTTGAAAAGCCTCTCAAAGGCAAGGATTTTAATTTCATATTTCTTTTTATGAGCACAGTACCCCACAGGTACAGTATAGTTTAGTGAATATTTGATGATTTTTACATAGAAACAGTACTCTAAATAAGGGCAAGAATATCAACCTAAATAACAAAACCAAATAAAACTAAGTAGCAAACTAATAACTCAGAATGAAATATTAATAACATTCTAGCTGTAGTCTTGAACCTTGAACCCAGTTGAAAGGGATTAGCCTCTGGAAGTGGCAGAGGCTCTTAGACAACACAACAAGGATCATCTGTTGAACAAATGTTTACTCGTAATAGAATCTCTTTGTCCACAATATACCCTCATATGGCCATTTTATTGTGTTGATAACCATCTTTATAGAAGGTAGTGTATTTATTTCAGCTTCTCTTCCCCATTAGGTGCACCAGGAATCATTTCCTCACCATATGCAGGGGCTGCTGGATTTGCGCCTGCTATTGGATTTCCTCAAGCTACAGGTGACTCTTTTAAAGCTGAAGTTGAAATGATTTCTTAATGATGATTTATATATTCTAGGAAATTATCAAAATGAAAGATATGACCATGTTTGAAGGATTTACCAAAAAAGCATTACATGTGTCAGTCATGGAAGTGGCTCGTGGACAGTAGATGATTGTACAACTTCCTTCTGTTTATACATAATTCTGGTTTCATTCTCAGCACTAAAAATCTATTATCTGTTCTGCATCATCTATACTTGCCAATGGCACAGATAACTATAGGTTGACTATATTAAATAACCTTAGGTTTGTCTCTTTGGTTGTTATATAAAACAGATGAGCTGCTTGCTGATAAGCAGCTCAATTACATGTTAAATAGACTTCTGTCTTACTTATCCTTACTGCCTATAATGGCATTCAGTACTTACCATGCAGACAGCAAACATTTGAATTAATAAACATTTACTATTTTATCTGTAAGTACTTTTTAAAAAAAATTAATGGGTTTGGAAGATTACTATAGAGGATATGCATGCTGTTTTATTTCAGAAAAAATATATATATGTATACACATTTTTTTCTTTTAGCTAGTGAAAATAATTAAGAGAGAGAGAGCGATCAGTTAATGCTTTGATAATGACTCTGACTCTTCCAGATAATAAGCAAAATGAATTTGATTATAACTGAAGGAGAAAAAATACTTTATGGTTTTGTGCTTAAAGAAAACACTTGAGGTTGATGATTGGAAGAGTGATGCAGTGTTAAGTCTAGTCTACATATTACCTTTATAGCTTCCAGCTGATCTGTGAATATAACTATTTTAAACTGCAGCATAGCTATTTTCTGACAATGATGTTTGTATCCTCCCTTTCTAAGTCTGGGAATTGTAACTCTTCTCTTCAGGAGAGAGGATGAAGTTAACTAAAAAGAAAGAGTGATTTGAAAGGTTGAGATTTATCAAAGTTTTAGGTTTCTGGTGGTTTTAAGACATTTAACATATGTTTAATTAAGTGAGTGATCTTATCTATGTCATTAAAATGAAGGCATTATACATTGTGTTTATGTGTTTGAAGCTCCCAAGAGCTACACATTTGGAGGTAGCGATATATGGTTTCCTTCATTTTGGGTATTTTTTTGACATGCTGTATCTATAAAACAGTGTAGTAGATGTTAAGAAGGAGAAAAAAAATGCATGAAGAGGGCTCCTGAGTTGATAAGGCTTTTCAGGTGTAATAGAGGGGTATATGCATACACTTGATTTGTGATAAAGTGGCCAGATTCTATTATAAGAAATTTTGAACTTAGAATCAATACATTAAAGAATTGGCTCATTTTACATTAACTGGGAATTTTATCTTTGACAGTTTTTAAGCTGAGAATACAAATAATTGGACCTTGTGAAGAAGTGTAGTGTTTTGGGTATTGTATGTAGTGTCAATATTCCAGTATTATAGGGCTTTCAGTAGTTTCTGCAGTATCTAGGGAAATAGAGAGCTCTGAAAATTCTTGCCTCAAAATAATATTGAATTCCATAAATTTGTTGTTGATGGTAATAATGTTTTACAAGGTTACAAAATGTTTTCTTCCCCCATGCAGAATATATGTATACAATTTACCTGTTTTAGATATACAACTCAGTGATTTTTAATAGATCTACAGAGTTGTGCAGCCATTATTACCACAGTCCAGTTTTAGAACATGCATTACTACCTAGCTTGCATATATGTGACTTCTGCTGAAGGGCTTTTAGGATATATATATGTAAACACACACACACACATATATATGATGTAATGGTAGAAGTCAACATGAAAATTATATCTGCTTTAGAGAAATGTATTGGAATATATCTATTTCAAGAAATAGAAGGAGTACTGGTAGTTATAGACCCTTTTAAAAAACCTCATGGCTTTAAGACTGGTGAATTTGGTTGGTCTGCAAAGTGTTATATAAATAATAGAGTATTAAGTATGATAATGTCAACAAATAAGAAACTCTACGTCCAGAGTCTGGATTGACCTCTGTTATCCTTACGGTAGCTTTGAAACATTTTCTTCTCTATTTTTGCTTTTGCATTCATTTATTTTCTTAAGTTGCATCAAGTGTTATAATTCTCCAGATAACTAGAATGTGAAATGCTTCTGCTGTTTTGTAAAGGTCTGTCGGTCCCAGCTGGACTAGGTCCCGGAGCTCTCGGCCCCCTCGCAATCACCTCCTCCGCTGTCACTGGAAGGATGGCCATTCCTGGGGCTGGTGGTATGCCGGGAAATTCCGTTCTGCTTGTCACCAATCTTAATCCTGATGTGAGTTGGAAAGTATCATATGTAAAAAGTCTTTCAGGAGGAAATATTGTAGCTTCTGTCTTCGAGTTGAATTCAAATGGAAATGTTTAAGAATTTGTATTAAAGTTCATCACTAGTACATATAAGAAGCATGTAAAAAAGCAATGCTTGAAACACAGTCAACTCTCATTTTTACAAGTAAACTTTTAAAAAAATTTTAGTTAATGAGACCCTTATATTTTGTGTTCTCCTTTTCAAACAGCTCATCACACCACATGGACTTTTTATACTATTTGGTAAGTAATTTCTTTTGCTTTGCTATTTTTTTTTTGTTATTATTATTAGCTATGATGTGAATTGAGCCCTTTGCATCATTCAGTAATACTTACTGCCGCTGTGTGTCAATTAGTGTGTTTGACACAGGATGGAATAACAAGGAAGATTTGTTAAGTGATTATAGATAAAACAAAGTTTTATAAAAAGGGAAATAGAGATTGTAATAAGAACATACAGCTGGAAGACCTAACCTTGCTGAGGGAACCAAATACGATGTACAGAGAAATGATAGTTAAGCTGACTTGTGAGAAATGAGGAAGTGTTGTGTTAGCCAGGCAGAAAGGGAGGGCGAATGTCCCTTCACAGATACTAGCAGTGAGAGACAGAGCTCTCGGACCCTGGAAATGAAGGAAGCTTAGTGGACAGGGTAAGGGTGAGACATGTTGAAGCTGGACAGACGAATAGGAACAAGGCCAGTAAGAGCTTTGTAAACTATATTAAGGAGCTTGGTTTTTAACCTAAGAACAATGGGAATCCATAATGAGATTCAGATTTTAAAATAATCCCTAGACTTTTTAATACTGTACCTCTCTCAGTTAAAAAGTAACGTGTACTCTATATATGATTAATTAATCGTAAATTTCACCAATCTTTTACTGTACTCTTTATGTATAGTGTTATATTACAAACAAATACAAGAACTATGAAGTAAGCAATGTTTAATATTTTAAAGATTTTTATTACAAAGTTTTTTAAATAAAAATCTTGTTAACATTTAGTGAGAAATAAGATTTAATATGCTTCATTATTTTCAAAAACCTTTTTCACTTTGAATCAGCATTCCAAAATCTGATTCTAAATTCACTTTGTTTTCATACTTGATGGTAGTCGTAACTGAAAAAGATATCTCATAAGGATACACAAGGAGATTCCCTGGCAGTCCAGTGGTTAGGACTCCGTGCTTCACTGCTAGGTTCTGGGCCCAGTCTCTGGTTGGGTAACTGAGCTCCCGCAAGTCACGTGGCATGGCCAAGAAAACATTTTAATTGAAAAATATAAAAATGTGATATGAATGAAAGTGTTGCATTGTTGCTGTGCTAATTAAGATACTAATTTTTTAGTCTAATCCACTAAATTTTGATGTATTTTACTTGGAAAAAGTTCCATGTTTCCTCTTGTTAAATTAGTTGATCTTGAAATCTATTGCATTAGAATAATGGGGCTAAAACTTACTAATAATCTTCATTTGGAAAAATTTTTAATAGAATGAGAAATTGTTTCAAATTTTTTGAGTGGATAATAGGTTTTTTTTAACAGCATCTTTCAGATATAATTTACAGCCATACAATTCACTAACTTAGGTATACAACTGAGTGATTTTTAGTCAATGTACAGAGTTGTGCAGCCATCACCAGAGTTCAATTTGAGAACATCTCTGTCACCCCACAGAGATACTTCCTACTCATGTGCAGTTTCTTTAATAGTTTTAATTCATGACACATTTATGTGATTATCAGTAACAAAATTATGTGTTCATGCTAAATTTTCATATGTCTCTTTAGTAGCCAGAGCACATTTCTTTCCAAAAATAGTTTATTTCTCACTAATTTAGAGAAAAAATCACCCTCAGCTTGAAATACAAATTGTATATTATTTTTTAAAGGGCGCTTATTTTGGCCAGGAGGGACAGGGAAGCCTAGCATGCTATAGTCCATGGGGGTGCAAAGAGTTGGACACTACTGAGCGACTGAGCAGCAATATTTCAGCACTTGTCATTTCTGAAAAGGATAGCAAATTTGGGATACTTATATATATGTATATATTTAGCTACTCTTCATCTCTCAGTTTAGCTGCTCATAGGGGCTTGCCCATAAGATAACCAGTTCTCCTTTGTGTGCCCTGAGAATTGTCATAGTCATTCTCCCATCCTGTTACACAGTATGGTGATGGTGCTACTCTTTAAGGATCTTATTTTTACAATATTGGTGATACCCTGTTCCACATGAACTGCAATATATTTTAGCACACTAAATGGAAAAAAATGAGAAAATGTCCTTCACATTGTAGAAAATTTCCACCTATAATTTCTTCTATATGTTGAAAATTAGTAAAATGTAGTTTTTCATATTGGTTTATATAAACAAATCAGGATAAATAACAGCTTATTATCCTCTTGGGCTTCCCTGATAATTCAGTTGATAAAGAATCCACCTACAATGCAGAAGACCCTGGTTTGATTCCTGGTTCGGGAAGATCCACTGGAGAAGGGATAGGCTACCCACTCCAATATTGTGGCCTGGAGAATTCCATGGACTGTATGGTCCATAGGGTCACAAAGAGTCCGACACAACTAAGCGACTTTCACTTTCATTATCCTCCCACACCCCAGTGAATCATTTTGCCTGTTTTTTGGGATGTGGGTCCCACTTTGGGGAACACTGGTATAGAAAAATTGGATGTAATGAGATCAATTTGGGAGGCTATTGTGATTGTCCAGTTGTGAAATAGTGATAATAGCTTCAATGATAGGGAGGATGGGGAGAAGTGGACAAATGTGAGAGAGATTTAGGCCATAGAATCAATGAGTACTGGTGGTTGATAGGATGTAAGAACGTAAGGAAAGGAGTAGGTCAAAAGATGACTCCCAGGTGTCTGACCAGAGCAAATACATGTATGATGATACTGTTTATCAAGAGAGTTAGTGAACATAGGAGGGGACAGAAAAGGGGAGATGAGTCAGTTTGGAATATATTAAACTTGAAGTATTTATGGGACATCCACATGAAGGGATTAATAAATCTAGAATATAGCTGCAAATTTGGAAGTGTATGTATGAAATTGCTCAGGGAAAGCATATAGCATGAGAAAAGAAGCTTTCTTTAAATATATTGTTAAAATTAATTGAACATTACACAGTCAGCACTAAAAAACTGTTTTGTCTTTTTAATTAGGAGTATATGGTGATGTACATCGAGTGAAGATAATGTTTAATAAGAAAGAAAATGCATTGGTTCAGATGGCAGATGCAAATCAAGCTCAACTAGGTACTAGTGATTAATAATAGTCATTATTATATGTGCATATTATATGCCCCTTTTGTATGTGAATTTTCCTGTGAAGTAAACTTAACGGCTTAAGTAGAAAGAGTTCCTCTTTATGTCAGTGTCTGCATTATTATTTGGATCTGCTTACATTTTAAGATTTAAAAATGTTTATAACTCTTTGAAGTTCATTTATCTGTTTGAACTTATCATTGATGTTTAGAGCTTTGACTCTAGGATTTTTCCATTAGCTTTAAACTAATAAACATGACTTGTTTTCTTTCATTTTGTTTGTTTACTTGTTTGTTTTCCTTCTAAGTTTTCTAGAACTGTTGCTTAAAAGTTCATAATGATAGTGCAAGAAAGTATCATTTTGCTATCTCATCATTCATTTTTATAGTGGCTGTTGAAATATTACTAGTCAGATATTTATTTTAAGAAGTTTTACTTGAGATTAATTTATTCAGTAGCCATTTCCTGAGCTCATGTTATATTTCAGGCATTCTGAAACATTTTAGCACTCTGCTAGGAAAATAGGTGTTTTTTGTTGTATTGCTTTTCATTATGGTAAAACAAACTCATTTACTATATTTTCATATGTAAGAGTTTTTAAATTTAAAACAGTTTAAGCCCTCAAACTGACAATATAATTTTAAATGGCTAAATGAAAAGAATTATGATGGTTTTATAGAGACTCCACCTTAATACCCAGAGTTTCCTTGTTTTCTCCTCATGCACCAGCCATGAGCCATCTGAGCGGCCAGAGGCTTTACGGGAAGGTGCTTCGTGCCACACTGTCCAAGCACCAGGCAGTCCAGCTTCCTCGAGAGGGACAAGAAGACCAAGGTCTGACTAAGGATTTTAGCAATAGTCCTTTGCATCGCTTTAAAAAACCTGGCTCTAAAAACTTCCAGAATATTTTCCCCCCATCAGCTACTCTGCATCTTTCCAACATCCCGTATGTATCCTAATTTGTTACTATTCATTTCAGTGATTAATAACTTAGGGTATATGGTTTGGGGAGATAAAAACAAATTATTGTTAATGTAGTAGTAGAAATTCAATAATTTCTTGTCAGATGATTTATTTGCCATCATCTCTTAAGAAGTTTATCTAAACTTACACTCCAAAAGTAAAGGTAGCAGTGTTTAAAATTTTTCTTTCCAAACAGGGCATTAGCAACTAGTTACCTTTCAGTTATGGAAGGACAAAATTACATTTATGCAGAGATATTCCATTGGTACATACTCATTCATCCTTCTGTAGAAGTAAAGACCCAGCATAGCAAAATCAAATAATTTATGTTTTTAAGAAGTTGGTAAGCTTCCCAGGTGGCTCAGTGGTAAAGAATCTGCCTGCCAGTGCAGGTGACAAAAGTTCAACCCCTGGGTTGGAAAGATCCTCTGGAGTAGGAAATGGCAACCTTCTCCAGTATTCTTGCCTGGAAGATGCCATGGACAGAGAAGCCTGGTGGTCTTGGGGTTACAACCCATGGGGTTACAAAGAGTCAGAGGCAACTGAGCATGCATGCAAGAATTTGGTAAAACTGAATTCTCTGTTTTTTAACCTACAAGCCACATACATATCTAAAAGCTAGAAATTATTTTCTTATAACCAGTCTGTAGTAACCAGTGTTGTAGCAGACTTGTTCTTTAGTCATCATCTAGCTTAGAGATTGACAGACTACAGCCCATGGGCCAAATCCACCTGTAAGGCCCATGAGCTAAGAGCAGTTTTTACATTTTCAGTGGTTGGGGGAAAACAAAAGAAGAATATTTTGTGATTTGAGAAAATTACATAAAATTTCACCTTCCATGAAAAAGTTTCAGGGGACACAGCCACATTTATTGATTTATGTATTAGCTATGGCTGCTTTTGAGCCAGTATGACAAAGCTGAATTGTTAGAATAGAGACTGTATGATCATCAAAGCCTAAGAAATATAAAACTGGAAATCCCAGTTTTAATTTGTGAAATCCTTGTCCAAAAAAGATGACCGTTTTATATAACATGAAGGAGGATAAGCTTTGGAAAGAAAGGGTAAAAGCTGGGGGGTATAGTTGTATGCAATCATGCGTGTGAAAAGTTAAAGACTTTTACCTTTGGAAAAAGTTAAAAGGGAGTGGAAAAGGGTACATATTCAAAATACTGTTGAATACCCAGGCTCCTCACTAGTCTCCAGTTGGGCACATGGAGAAACTTTGCATCTGAATTGGGCAGTGGCTCAGCCTTATTATGCCTTCCAGGCAACAGGAGGAGTAGCTTTAAGAAAAAAATCTCAATTATGTGCATCTAGAAATTTAGCACCTCATTACTACAGAATGAGGGAGAGAGGCAACATATTTAAAGACTAAAGCAGGCTCCCTCTTAAGGACATTTGTCCAGGAGCTGGTCTCAGTTTGCAGCCTACACTGGACATGTAGGTAGGAGAGAGAAAGTATGTTAATATATTTTTAACCATCTACCAAGTATTGGGCACTGTGCTGGTGTCTTACATGCATTACCTCATTTAATCTCCATAATAATCTTCTTTTTAAAATTGTGGTTAAATACATAACCATTTTAACCTTTTTTTTTTCTTCATTTTAACCATTTTTGAGTGTGTGATTCAGTGTACATTCACATTATATACTTTCATAGTGTGCAACCGTCACTTGTATCCATCTGGAAATCCTTGTCATCATCTCAGATTGAAGCTCTGTACCCATTAGACAATATCTCTCTGTTTCTCTCTACCCTGTCTCTGGTAACCACCATTCTGTGTTCTGTCTGTAGCAGTTTATCCATAATAACCTTTGGAGTAAAGGTTGTTAGTTTCATTTTAACACTGAAAGTTAGAGGCTCAGATTAAGCAACTTACTCAGGAGTGACATTCCAGGTGAACGACCAATAGGATGTGGATTCAGATCTCTCTCCTAGCAGAGCCAGTTGTTGTTCTGTAAGCCCATCCTTGCTGGTAGTTGTGAAATGAGGAGGAGTCTTCTTTTAGTCAATGGACTGTCATGTGGTAGACCACCGTATTAGTTGTCCACTGCTATGTAACAGATCACTCGAAAACCTAACAGCTTAACACAACAGTAGATGTTCTTGATCTCAAACTGTTACTGTGAGTCAGGAATCCAGAAGTGGCTTAGGTTTTGGCTAATTCTCCCACAACATAGCATCTGAAGGCTGTACTGTGGCTAGAGTCCACTTCCAAAGTGGCTCCCTCATATGCTCAGTCAGTTCCTTGCCACAAGCACCTGTCCATAGGGCTTCTTGAAAAGGCAGCTGGTTTCTTCCAAAGTTAACCATTCAAGAAAGGGCAAGGTGGAAATCACAGTGTCTCTCAGCCTCAGAAGTCACGTGTCATTTCTGTAATAGCCTGAGGGTTAACAGAGGACATCCTTATTCTGTATGGGAGAGGGGTACCCAAAAGGTATAAATACTAGGAGGCAAGAGTAGTTCGGGGCTCTTTTAGAACATGGTTGGCACATACACATGTTCATAATTATCCTGAAAGTAATTGAAAAGGTACTGGATTAGTACTAAAACTATGCTGGACTAGTAGTGGACTATCGAAGACAAATCAGAGCTAGGGAAGGGGCTTGGAAGTACTAGTTAGGTACTAAAGCCGTATGTGTAATAATCCCATTGAAAGAGTAAATGTAGAAAGATTTTCTTGTCCTTTAGATACTCCCCATGTCTCATGCAAAAGAATTGAGACAAAATTCCATTGTCTGGAGACATGCGTGCATCAATCTTGAGCGTTTTTTCTTTTCTTTGCAACGCTATGGAAACCCACTGGACTCCTCTGTCCACAGGATTCTCCAGGCAAGAGTACTGGAGTGGGTCGCTCTTTCCTCCTCCAGGGGGTCTTCCACCCCAGGGATCAAACCCAAGTCTCCTGCATCTTCTGCATCACAAGCAGATTTTTCACCACTAAGCCATCACAGAAACCCAACCTTGAAGATCTTTAAGGGCACTTGCGCAAATCATGTCTTCATTGCATGGCTTTATGCTCTTCGTAATGTGAGATATTCTAGAGACCTGATGATGTCAGGAGTTAATCTTTGCTTCATTTGAAAACTAGGGATAAGATAATTGACTGTCTCTGTGATGATGTTTTCACAGCCCCTCTGTTACAGTAGATGACCTGAAGAATCTTTTCACAGAAGCTGGGTGTTCAGTGAAGGCTTTTAAATTCTTCCAGTAAGTCCATTCTTTTTAAAAATACATTAACATGGTTTGCAAATGTTTATGGTAATTTAATGAAGTCTTCTAGAGTTGGGAAAGAGGTTTGTAGGCAAAATTAATTCTGTGTACTTTTTCTGTTTCCTCTGCCACTTTAGGAAAGATCGCAAAATGGCACTCATTCAGTTGGGATCTGTGGAAGAAGCAATCCAGGCCCTCATTGAGCTTCATAACCATGACCTTGGAGAAAATCATCACCTCAGAGTTTCCTTCTCAAAATCTACAATCTGACTTTTCTGTGAATTTTTCTCCTAAGACTGGACCATAATTTCAGTAAAACCTTCAGACATAGACTGAAGCAGCTCAAGACCAATTCTGCCTCTTTTTCAAAAATAACTCTTTCTGAGTTTGATGTTCAAGTATATAGAAAAAATCAAGGGATGTTCTCTTTTCCCATTTCTCCCCTCTGCCAGTACGTCATCAGAGGCGTGTTTTTCCTTTGTACCATTGTTTCTAAAATGAAAATAATTGTCAGGAAAAAAATTTTTTTCCAGTATTTTAATTCCCTATATTAAATTGGATTTCAAGAGGACAGACTTTCTTTTAATTTGGGTCCAGATCAGCCTTATACAACATTTCTAAACTCCTTTGTACTTTGACAAATTTAAACATAGAGACTTTTAAAATTACTTGATGTAAGTAATTTAAATGACCTACAACCAAGTTTTTAACTTTATGATTCAGAAGTTTGAGTCCTGTAGGAAACTATGTTCTCTTATAACAGTTATTTGGCATATATTGATACTTATTATACATAAATTGGGTTGTATTGGAAGCAAATTGATAAACTTGCATGTTTTCTTTCAGTTTTTTTTTTTTCCCACTGTAAGACACTCCTTTGCATATCTTTAACTTTTTGAAACTATTTGGAGAATGAAATGTCTCATTTGTCTCCAGGGAAATTATGTGGAATCCAGCCAGGATCTATTAAGGTGTCAGAATAATTAATTTTATTTGGGAAAATCATGTTTTAAATTTCACAATGACAGTTGCCTAGTAATATGATCTTGGGAAATTTAAAAAGAAAAATAATCCTACTTATAAACTACTTTTTTATAGTTTTCAGAAAAAAAAGTTTACAGTCTTAAGGAAAATATTCAGGTCTATCATATGGTTTGACAGATTTTTTAAAAGTTATTTTTGGTAAAGTCTTCTTTTAGAAAAAAAATTAATCTCAAGGGTTTTTTGTACCACTATAATCTCTAATACTTATTCAGAATTACTGTGTATTTACTTAATTTCCTATTATGTGCCTTATTATGTGCTTATGATATAATAGGTTAGAGTTTTATCTAAGTATCTTAAAAGCTATATTGTGGGCTTGGTGAGCATTTGTTTTTTCTTTCCTTGTTTTGGCAAGACTTTTAAAGTTTTGTTGTGTTTTTTTAATTGCAATTTTAAGTGATTTTCAAGAAGTACTAGTTGCTATTCAGATTTTTGGTGCTTTGGTGTAGAAGTGGGGTGGGGAAGGGTTAAATGGTTTTGGGAATAACTCAGTGCACACCTGTAGGCCTCTTCATATTGTGACCAGTAGTGGTCATTGCGCTTATAGCATACCAGTTTGGGGCTATAAAATGCAGTCTCCGTTTCTGGATCTTGTCTAATCTTTATCACCCATTAGAATTTGTCTCAGGATTGCTTGGTTTTTGTCATATACTCAAGTGAGAACTTGCTTTTCTTTGTTAGTGAAGCTCCAGTACTGAATGCGTACCCACATATATGCAGTATGAGAAGGAGTGGGTTCTTTCTCATGCTCTGTCCCTCTCTCTCTTTAGTTGAATGTAAGCATATGTTTTAATGTTGTTTCAGTGACTGTAGAATGTAAAATTATTTCTTTTAAATTAGATACTTTGCATTGATTACTTACTCCTTCAGTGCTTGAGTAGATTTTTTAAAGCAGAATTTGTTAAAAGGGTCATTTTTGTCTACCCCTTTTTCACTTTTCTCAGATTCTCAGTGGCTCATCTCACCTTTTAAAAGAATATCTCAATTTCTTATTATATTCCAACCATTAAATTAAACAGGAAAATTTTAACCAAAAAAATTTGCAAAAATATTGGAGAATACAAAAGACATTCTGGATTGTTCAAAAGCAAAATTTCCTCAATGCTGGGCAACAATTAGTTGGTAGAATATGAAGGACACTAAATTGAGATCTTTGAAATGGATCAGTTTTAGTATTGGCTGATAGGTGTACTCATTTATCTAGGTTTTTTGGGGTTTTTTTCACTTATAAAATATATTTTTACCAAAACACGTGAGTAAGAGGGAAGGGAGAAAAAACCAGTTTCTTTAAGAAATCACTCCAAGTTTGCTTCATTTTTTTCCTTCTTTACAAGCACTATTGTAATTTTCAGTTATATTTTAAATTGGATTTTTTTTTTCTTTTTGAGTTAGGAATTACTGTGTAGTTTCAATTCATGATTCTCATAACATTCAGTGTAAGTGTAGCAGAAGTGTAGCAGAAGGGAGATCATAAATGGTGTTGAATGTAATTTTGAAGTAGGAAATGGCCTTTATATTTGAGAGAGAACATTTGAATCCTTTTCAGGGCTTTGTGTGTGTGTGTGTATAGATGAGTGTATATACATACATACACTCCTCTGATGTTGTACATACATATGTACATTACATACATCTTAAATTATTGACCAAAAACATTAATCAAATTAAGATTTGGAAAAGTGAGATATTCTTATTTAAAACTGTGTTTGAAACCATCAGTTTGTGTCTAAAATTAGCTGTAGCACATGGATGTTGTTCATATTGGGCTGTTTGCTCTTTGAATTATAGAGGTCTACAGTATTTGTGTTGACATAGTTTCTGTAAAAAGATTAAAAAATATCAGGGCAGTGAAAAAACTAGATCTTTGTATTTTTTGTTTTGGCATGCAATTAGTTGATATCTTCTAAGCAATGTTTTGTTGTTGTTGAGCTGTCGTAGTATCCTATTTTAAAGTTTATTTACTTTATTTCCAGGAGAATTGTCTTATTTTTGGAGGTGTCTGACTCTGACACAAATTATATATATTCAGGACTTTTAAAAATAGCAGTACAAAATGAATAACCAACAAAAACCTATAGTATGGAACTCTGAAAAAAAAAATAGCAGTACACATTAAATGGTAGCAATTTATGCCAAAAAGTTTTGAGATTTAAATAACTTGCATAGTAGTAGATTGTGTTTTGTGTGAGATACAAATAGGAAAATAAGCTTAATAATTTGATAACTTACTGGAGAGTATCAGAATTGCCCAGTAGTGCCTACAGAATGCCTTAAATTCTTTGTTTGAGGCTAAGTTACTTGTAGTAATGTTTCTGATTTTGTTTTTGAAAGTTGCAAATCTCATAGCTTCTAGAGACAGTTTTTGCCTGCCTGATTCCTTATGGAAGCAGTGTTTCTTTGGCTCCACCAATGGTACCCCACTCCAGTACTCTTGTCTGGAAAATCCCATGGACGGAGGAGCCTGGTAGGCTGCAGTGCATGGGTTCTCGAAGAGTCGGACATGACTGAGCGACTTCACTTTCACTTTTCACTTTTATGCATTGGAGAAGGAAATGGCAATCCACTCCAGTGTTCTTGCCTGGAGAATCCCAGGGATGGGGTCGCACAGAGTCGGACACGACTGAAGTGACTTAGCAGTAGCAGTAGCAGTATGGTCATCATAGGTTCTGCTTCAGATGATTAGAAGTAACGCTCTTGAATGTCTCTGTTCAGTTTTATATAAACTTTTGGAAACTTCCGTGTTATTAAGCAGCCAGGTTATACACTGATTGTATTATCATGTAATTCCCCTTCTGTTCCCACTAAATATTTTTTGGATGAAAGATGACAAGCTCAAGAGTATGTGTTCCCCTGCCCCCAGTGAGTCACTTAAAAACCTTATTTGCCAAATTGTCAGGCTCTCTCTTAGAAAAACTACTGTGTACTGCTATTTTTAAAACCGAAACTACACCATGACTATGGGTAAAAGCATTCTTCTTAACCTTTCCTTTGTCTTGATCTGTTGTTGACAAGAATAAAACTGCCAGACTTAAAATAATCTACTATTGTGCTAAAAAGAAATACCATTTAGATTGCACAAAACTTTTCCCTTAAAGAAAATGTAATTCAGCTGTCTCTTAATTCAGCTGTGTTATTATCTAGAAGACTATTTGCAGTCTTTTTTCAGAGCAAATTTTAACAGCTAGTTGTGAATGGTTTAAAAAATAGAAAATTACTAAAATATCAGTTTGGGGGGTTTTATAGAGGGAGAAAAACAAAAGAAACAGGACCAAAGTTTATGTGCCTTCTTCAGTAGTCTTAATTGCTCTTTCTTCCTATTTGAGGTTTAGGTGGTAGTATCAATATTCTGGTTTTCAGGAAATGCATACTATATAATTTTAAAAGAATGTTATCCCATAGACCATTCTTTCAAAGAAACAGTTGTAACTGTAAAATGAAGTCTCAGTTATACTTTTTGCCTTCCTCATATAATATTCATAGCATGTGCAGGTCCAAGAACAGAGCTGCTGTAAGTCTTTGTGGCAGTCATCTTCATTTCTGTAACCTGAGGCATATGTTCCAGAGAACAGGGGTATTTTTCTGGCCCAGTGACCTTGGTGATAATAGTCATGGTTGAAAGCTGCTTATGGCAAGCTTAAATCAGCACTGTAAACAGATTTTTTTTGTTGTTGTTTTTAGGTTATTTTTAGTTCTTGAACCTGTGTAGTAGTAGTAATAATATTTAAATAACTATTTTTGATGTCATTTAAAAAATCATACTCTGGCCTTTTTTCCCTTTACCACTGATACCCAGATCTGTAAAAAAATTCATCCCACATCCAAAAAGTACTAATTATAAAGATTGCTAACCAAGCAGAGTTTTGCATCAAAATGTCACCTCATTGCTCTGACCAAAGACTGACTGTTCTGGTTTTGACTCCTTTCTGTTAAGCATTTTTTCCCAAGCTCCTTTCTGAAAGAAGACCCAGTGCAAAGCGGCCTTTACTTTCTATTTCCTATTGGTGAATAGACTACTTAGAGAAAATGGGAGTTTAAATGTGAACAGAATGGGTTAGATGATAAGGGTTCAATGGGCATTTTCAGTACTGTATTTAAGAAAAAAAAAAAAAAATAGCACAGCTAGGAGCCTCTGACATTGTCTCGTGTTTTATGTGGTCTGTTCATAAAATTCCCTTTTTCAGTTGTAAGAATGTTCATCTAACAGAAGTAAATGCTGTAAATATTTG